ATTCAGTAAATGCAATTGTATTTAATTATAGTGAACATAACTATATATTTTTTTAAATTCACTTACTATTTTATGAGGTAATAATAATTAAAAAATATGTTAAGAAAAAACTAAAGATTTTCAAATAATGTGTATGGCTGTTATTAATACAATTGACTGTATAATACAATTGACTATATTTGCATGATTAAAGCAACAATAAATATATAATTATCCCAAAAATGAATATAAATTATGGTTCATTTTTATCTCTTAGTGTGTCTATTTATTTTCTTATCGAAATATTTGTAAAAAACAATTATAGATTCTATTATAATTATAGATTATATTTGAAAGAGATAAAAATGATCAGTAGCTATTTTGAAAATAAATTATGTATTTTTAATATAACTTTTATAAATATGTTTGTGCGTACCACAAAGAGGAGACATTGTCTGCATTGTGATCATATGATTGCACTTGCGCCACGACCGTAACATTGGCCTAGAAAGTTATGTTGCGGTCCACTCTCCTATTATCTGTATCAAAGAATAGAAAATGCGGCGAGTAAATAATAAATATATAGATATAAAAGATTGTAAAAAAAGGAAAATCAATATTTGGTATAAAATTTTTCAATATGTATGCAATTTTATAATTATATAAATAATTAAAATTTAAAAACTGAAAAAGTTGTTCGATTTTGCTCGGATATATACGTAATAATAATTATTCTATTTTGTGATATAATCGTTTTAACCTTATGAAAACTGACCTAAAATCGGCTTGAAAAGACTGTTATCAAAAATAGTCGATTTTCTGATATATTTTAAATACATTATGTTTTTATGTTTACATTGAAAACGCTGCTTGCTGCACACAATCTATATTATTTTTATGCATCATTTCCATCTATAATTTTATAAGAAACTAAGGATATTTCTAATTGAATTCTTTTACAATTTTTTTTAAACAAATGACGATAAATAATTAATTTTTTTTATCATTATACACATACAAGGTAACAATTATGTTATGGTAACAATTATGTTGGTATTATGGTAAATTTTTTTAACTCTTACGTAATATTTTGATTTGCCGTATACTATCGCTTTATTATAGAGCAAAGTCCTTGATATTATATCTCATGTAAGAATATTTTATAATAAATTAATAATCATAATTGATTTCTTGTCGCATATGATAGATATGTCTGTTTAATTGAAAGTAGTACGAGAAAGCATAACGTTTAGTATACAGGACTATCGGTTTCGTAATAGCGTTCCATTGGAATGGATAATTCCAACGGACATGAAATGGACTGTTCTTCTTTTTTTTTTTGCAGATTCAGAGTTTTACAATCTGTACGAAATTCTACAAGAGAGTCCAATGCTCGCGGTGAGTAAAGGAAAACGATGACAGGATGTCGAGAGTGGAGGATAATTTTATTCATTGTTATATGGAAAATGATCGCAAACGCGAAAGTCACACAAGTACATTCAAATGACGAAGACAAAAAATTGTTCGAGCAGAACAAATACATTTATTCTTGGACAGGGCCAAACGCGTTGGCCAGATCGGCCTTGATCGAGAGACAAGAAAGGCTGCAATATAATTGCGAGCTTGAAAGTAGCGAAGTCGATATCACCGCATTAAATCCCGAATTGTTCCGAAATATCCTTGTGGATGATTTGCATGAATTGCTCTATTGCTATGTACCAAAGGTATCAGAATTTATCGTCTTTTTATTGAGATTATCGAATAATGTTAATGTCATAATTTATAAAAAGTATTGAAACGCATCACGTTGCGCGTTCTAAGGCGAAGCGATTTCACCTTTCAGGTGGCTTGCACAAATTGGAAGCGTGTACTAATGATTGCGACCGGAAAATGGTCTGGTAACGATCCTTTAGAAATACCGGCTGATCAAGCTCATTCCCCCGGTACTTTTCAACGATTGAACAATTACACTTTGCACGAGATAGAGAAGAAATTGGCTACATACGACAAGTTAATTGTTGTGCGACATCCTCTAGAAAGGCTTTTATCAGCCTATCGAAATAAATTAGAGACCAAACATGAGAAAAGTGCGAGGTATTTCCAGATTCGCTTCGGCAAAAAAATCATCAAGGTAAAAACAAGTTTTTTTAAACATAAAAAAACTTTTGTATCATTTATATTATATTATTCATCATATAATAATACTAAAGTGACACATAATTTAATACTGTTTTTGTAGTTTATTTTGCCCAAGGTTCTTTTTTCCTCTACCTATCGAATTATTTTAATCGAGTTATACATCGCGAAGCCTAAAAGAAAATATTTGTTTGTTCAAGCATTGTAAGATGTTAGATGTTTATTTATACAGTAATTGAATCAAATTTAGAAATACCGTATAATTGCGCACTTGGAATATGATTATGATTAATTCCATGTGCAGGTTGTCCCACTTTTATTATATTAACCGTTAATGGCAAGTTCCGTATACAAACAGAGATGAAGCAATATCGAAAACATCAAGTTACAAGTAGCGATTTAACTGCCTGACATTTTTGTAGAAGTACAGGTCAAACGCGACCGAGGAATCTTTAAGGAATGGTGACGATGTGACGTTTCGCGAATTCGTTGATTTCGTTACCGATGACGCCGAGAATGGAACTCGGAATGAACATTGGAGACCGATATATGATCTATGCCAACCATGCATAGTTAATTACAATCTCGTAAGCAAGTACGAGAGTTTGGTTGAGGATGCCACAGAAATTCTCGAACGGATAGGTGTCACATCCGTAAAGTACGTAGATGACAACTCATAACAACAAAATAAATAATATTGAACATTTAGATTAGCGAAACATTTTATTACATATGATTACAATATTAAGAATCTTTATTTTAAACCGCATATGTGAGAAACACAATCAATACTAGAAATTTAAAATGCCTATTACAGTCGAAGCTGGCTCTTCATTGCTTTAAATAATTCAATCTTGAATTATTATTATACACTATATATGTATTTGCATATATATCATATTGTAGTTTTCGAACTGCGCGCCGAATTGTTTTTCTTATAAACTCAATTAAAAACTACTCTAGCAATCGTGAATTAAATTGACAAGCAATTTTAATAATTTGAAGCTACCAAGCATCATATTATAAAGATGTTAATATGTCAAAACTGTTAATAAATTTATATGATTATAGTTTTCCAGCTAAATCAGCAAGCAGTGAGCCGACATCGAGAAAATTGGACAGATACTACTCTACTTTGAGCTACAAACAGCTTCGCAAGTTAGCAGATCTATATAAATTAGATTTAAGGTTGTTTGACTACTCGTTGGAAGACGTGTTGGGATTTTCTTTGGCTTAGGCCCGGTTGCAACTTCACTTTGAAATCTCTTAAGCAAGATTTAAAACTTTATCTGTCTCGTTTTAAAAAGAGATAGAGACATAAAAAAAGCCTCGCTTAAAATCAAAGTAACGTCGGTGCAATTAGGCCTTAATAGTGCTTGTTAATATTAACAGAAGCAGATGTACATACGTAATATGAGTAAAGTGGCATATAAAAAACGTAAGATAATAAGTTACGTCAACAGTAACAAATAAAAAAATGTTGATTTGCTTACTGCTTACATCTTACTGTTTACATTTTTTTATGTGCCATTAGTTTAAACTATCACTAAAATATGTGTAAAGTGTAAAATATGACAAAACGATAAAATGGATATTTGAGGTATTTATTTTTATTTTGTTTAAATTAAATCTCGTATATACTACCTCGTATATAAATGCATAGAATATTTTTTATCTATATAAAAAAAACTCAATTTCTTATCTATATAAAAAAATATGTATATTATATATGATATTCATTTCAACAGTTAAAGGTGATTTCTTTATTAAATAATTGCTCGACTTATTAACGAGAAATAAAAAAAAATTATAAGATTGCAACAGATTGTAGCACACGCGCGTGCGCAGAGAGAGAGAGAGAGAGAGAGAGAGAGAGAGAGAGAGAGAGAGAGAGAGATTAGAGAAATATAGTAAATATACAAATGTAAAATACGCGAATGAATCGTTTTATAAATTGCGAAATATGAATTGTACATATCTCGCAACATTTTTTTTTTACATATTACACATATCAAATTATTTTAAATTATTGTTGTATATTTATTACAATAGCACCGATTTTTTTCAGTAATATTGTAGTAAAATTGCAATATTGCATTAACATTGCAAATTTGCAGCAATGTTGCTGCAAGTTCCTGCGCTGTATAGGATTATACATTATTAATCATTATATTTTATGATCAAAATATATTTATATATACACATTCATATATTCATAGATATATCACAGACTATTTATTTGAAGTTATTATGGCGTTTTAAACGTATAACGGTGCCTCTTGCCAAGAATTTAAGGATAAATTTAAGGAAGAAGTGAAGCGAAAATAAAAGAACTTCTTTTGTGCCAAGAAAAAAATCACTTGTCAACTTTTTTCAAGTTTAGTTTCGTAAAAGTCATACGAATGTACGTCGAAACTTTTATTGGTACGCAATTTATAGAACGAAATATTATCTTAGGATAATCTCTATTTATATGCGCACCTTGTGTACTGTGTCGTGAGTTAATCCGTAATAAAAGTTTCACTTTTCTATTTTCGTAACGTGAGTTGTGTTCAAAGCATCATATCGTGTTCAAAGTTATTGCTTACAAGCAGCCATATTTGCGTGCCTATGTAAATATTATTGTATCTTCATTGTACAGTGTAGAAAAGATTCCAGAGAGATAACAATTATGTAGTTATTAATCACATTAACTCTTCTTCATAGATTATATTGTATATTGTGCAAACATTATGTATATTATGTATCCAAAAATAATATTGTGTTAAGATTTTCATGATTAATAATTAACTGATTATAAATAAATTATCATGGAATTAATTATTACTTAATAAATATTAATCAATTAATAATCTATTAATTATTATAATTATTAATTAATTAAATTTAATTAATTATATTACACAATTAATAATATTACAATTACAAATCGACTTAGTGGATCTAAAAAATTGTTTTAAATCTTTGGATGCTGATATGATCCATTTAGACTTACGTCTAAATTTGTTATTGAATATTTCTGATTTTTATTAAGAGTCTAATTCATAAATTAGAGAAATAATAATGCTGGATATGTATTTTCGATAATTGGTTGTTCAAGATAAATGCATTACATAATGGTTGAGCTAGAGTTCGGAGGTCCATACATTGTTCATCAAGATTGATGTTTGCTTAAATGAGTTAAATTTAGATGAGAGCCCGAAAATGATGGACGGCCTTCTATATTGGCACGGATTGACTAAGGAGTGAATCTTAATCGCGCGCAACAATTCTGGCAGTCACTTGAATGAGTTTTCAGAATAACACAATGCCTCTCTTGCAATTCCCAATCGCGCTTAATAACCTGAGCATATTAATTTCATAACGATCTTGAACCTGCCAATACTTACAGTGTGTCGGCGGTTATCTGGAATCGATCTGATGGCGTTTTTGTCAAGAAGTTACGCCTAACATTCACAATGCCTTAATATAACTCGAGGTAACGAAACTCGTTGCTCTTCAAGCAACATTAGCTGATGGTGGGATCTTGTCTTCTACCAATCCTGGAGCAGAAGGTGGGAAGGTGCGAAACGGTACACGCAAGTATAATAGGTGGGGGTGGTGATGCGGTTCCTGGAGGAATTTCGGGATCACAAGACCCGAGCGCGCAAATCCTGCATTGCCTGATCCAGTCTACGATCGCACGTAGAGCGGCGAAGAACGCATTTCTGGATCTAAGTGATCTTGAAAATAAAAAACTTATAAAGTGTTTTCATGTAATAACGTTTACAATAATAAATTACTGACGTTATAACGGCAATAATTCGCAATTAGTTCGTGATAATCCAAGCATTCGTGAGTATCGCAGATCTTTAAATGAAGATCGATCAAAGCGAATTTCATAAAAATATTACAATATTATACATTATATTTAATTATAAATCTTAAACCGGTGCGATGTGGAAAGAAAGTAAGAATTAATTATTGTCATTGCTATACATACGTTCATGTAAATTTAAAAAAAAAATGATTGATCGAATTCTTTATCTATGAGGAATAAAGACAAATTTTATCGGATATCTGTAAGTGAATAATAGACTTAATATATATATATATATATATATATACATATATATATATATCATAATACAGATCTGTCCGTATCGGTCAAAAAATGCCACCAGCAGGCCACGAGACGAAGAACCTTCTGATGACGTATTTCATCCTTATTTTTCTATTAATCTCGCTTTGGGTATTATACTCGGGATTGTTTTTTTAAGCACAACAGACATTCCTCACCATGGTGAGTTACGTATACCAATGAATGCATTCTTAATTTGAAAAATATGTGTCCCGAATGCTTTCCCAGCTTTTTACTTTAATTTCAATATTATTGGTAAAATTGCATAAAATGAAAACTTTATATTTTTTTATTTAGAATTATCTAAATATATTCGTAGCTTTTATTCGTAGTTCGCTAAATGAAGTTACAGAATAAGACTATGAGATTAAGAAGGTTTTGTGTTAAGTTGGTCATTGAAATCTCCGAATAGTAAGCGGAATTTCATTATCCATCTTGATTCATTTTAATCCTATCTACCTTAGTATTTTATGATGTGATATTATTTTTAAAGTTGTTTTATTAATAATAAATTATTCAATAAGTGATCACAATAATATGAACTCAAATTGTTCAAATTTAATAATATTTTAAATGTAGAATATTGTACATTTTTAGGGCTGAACAACAAAGAAAGCAAGGCGGATGCATTCAAAGGATCCAAGATCGTCACCTCGTTCAGAATTCGCCAATTCTCTTATTATATTTTCTACAATTTAGGCGCCTGAAGACATGTTCTCCACAAATCATTTTTGACTGTTTAATGACCGATTTCTGTGACGCGCATGATTTAAAAATATATTTATCGGGTAATAGAAACAATTTTAAAAGTTTATCTCCTGTTTTACTTTAATTTCTTATCACTTTGTCATGAAAATCGGCTATCGATATTACATTAATTATATTTTCTCAGCTAATTAGCTACAAATACATTGTCTAAATTAAAAATAATATTTTTTTTATAATATTATTAGTTACTAGCATATCTACAGCTATAATTCGCATCATTATTGAATTGTGTTCATTTAGTCACCGAAATAAATATATCAATTTGTTTTATGCGCGTTCGTTTATAATTCGAATGCATCTCATTTATCTTTAACTACAATATTAAAAATGTATTATAAAAAAGTTTCTTTAAAAATATGTTCGTAGTATATATGAAAAACACAACACTACAAACGATAAAATAAATCTTTTCGTTTGAAATGCAGACTAAAGTTTACTTTACTATTATTTACCATCATACCGGAAATAAATTGTCATTATGTCACTATCGATGGATGCATAAAACGGACTACGATTAAAAAAAAGAGACAATTATGAAAAATATGGATTTCCTTAGGAGATGCAAACAGAGAGAACTTTGTAGAAATGTGAACGATGCTGCCCCGCAATATGTGGGCGTTTCTCCAAAAATAGTCGGCGCTTCCAGCTCTCGAAGTTTGACCGTATGTCCACGTAGAACTAAATCGGTATTTTCGACAGCGTACGCGAAAATAGACGACATAATTAGTACACATTTCAATGCTGAACTGCAATTAGGGCTGTGTTAGCAAAAAGCTTTCAAATATTACGTAAGGCAGAAGCTCCCAAGACCGTATGCTCAAGTATCAAATTACTCGCTTATTGTATTTAAACACTTTTCAAATACTGATTTTTACAATATAAATATCCACTTTTTTCGTATGTCTGAAGTATCCACTATTCTCACCTTTTTATTTGAATTTATACATTTCGTACAATCGCCAAGTCAAGTACAAAATCTTTAATAGATCGCACGTCGTTGCATGTTTATTTCATTTTAAATATGTGTATTTGACCGTATCGGAATGTATCCCATTATATTTGCACGTTGCTATTTCAAATGTTCCTTTTATTTTTGCCAACATTAATAGACAGATGCAAACAGGTGCGAATAACGAAATGTACAAATTAAATGAGATAAGTACGAAAATTGACGTGTCATGTTACATAATCGATTAAACGATATTTAAAAAAAAAGACTTTCATTATTTGCAACTTATGTAAATCATTTGTTATATAATTTAATTCCGAAGAATCATCCGCGCCGCACGGTATCATATTCGTCATAGTAAATATGTATTTTCACGGGCGTGGAACTTAAATGTTACGGCAGCGCTCCAGTAACCGCTCGAAATAGATCTAATCGCTCCAGATTCGTAGTTACTCGATGCGGCGTCCACACATCCAGTGTCTCAAAAGATGTTGTGTACGCTGCTGTAGAATGTCAATCGTGTTCAATTCTTATTCACTTTCATCCCTTCCGATGAAAATGCGATCGAATTTCTTTAATTACGGTGCATTTATAAACTTAATTAAGTTGTTTAATACATCATGAAACTTCTGATCGACAATTATTTTGACTTGAATTTAGAACCAAGAAATAACACGATGAAGTAAAAAATCTCCAAGACACTTATGAAGCTGCATCCCAAGAAAAGACTAAATATGCCACCCAGCGATGCTGAAAAGTTTTTTTCTTTTTTTCATTAAGACATTAAAACAGATTGCAAGCATCCAATAAACACTAAATAAAAGTAACATAACATTAATATTATAACTTCACACTGAACAATGTAACTGTTAAAATATGTGTTATAAGGTACTTAAGTCGAATAAAATCCAACATTAAATAACGTCCAAGTTTTCAATTATTTAAAAATGCTCTTTACGCCTAGAAATATACTTAAAAAAAACGTGCCACAAGAAATAGATAAAAGCAAGAGAATTAGAATCAGCAACAACAAACATTATATTCATATATATATAATAAGGTCTAATGTCAGAATTAAAAATTTTTTCTATTTATTTGCAGATATTTTATAGAACACACATTTTATTTTTGTAAATGAGTAAAATAACGATTTTATTTTCACCTAGTTTATTTTAATACCTAAAAAATAAAAAAACAAATAAATTAGGTGGGCTTTATTCAGTTTAGGTATTTTATTACATTTATATATTGTTGAGTGAAATTATAACATTAATGTTATGCTACTTTTAGTTGGTGTTTTCTGGTTAGAAACGATCGCTTACCTAGCAAATATAATTCATCAGCAATCGGAATTGTATCCATTTCTATGAATGTAGCGGATTTCATATATATTTTTAGAACGGACTGATTAGTTGAAATATTTTTACTGAAATAAATACAATTACATATATACATATATATATATATATATCT